TTCGCTACATGAATAACCCCATTAGCTTGCTATGATGGTGGTCTAATTTCAATGAAAATAGCTGAAAACCCCAATTATTAGAGGCTCATAGCTCTCATAGCTCGCTTCGCTCGCACTCACTAGCTCCCAGCGCGGATCCAGGTGGCAAGAAGAATGTTCCAATGTTGGCCATAAAAACCACTCCGAATCCCATCGCCAATGGTCCAGACATCATCAAGAATTTCTCGGATGGAGCAGTGATTGCAGTGGCTGATAGCCCTCCAACAATTCCAGCAGTGTACCAAGCAGCACGAGTCAAAATAGGGCCTCCCATGAAGCAAAGAGGGGCGAGCACGGCTCCCATCACACCGCAATGGAGAGCCCAGGCCAGATGCTTAACGAGTGTGTTATCGTAGTCAATAGATCTAGCCAGCATTCCAGAAGCAATCATCACGGCCATAGTTCCGAAGAGGGACTGAAAATAGGGATTCAGCTTGATTTTCTTGAATTTTTGGAGTCGAATTTCTAGAAAAGTCGATTTTTTCAAAAAAAAAATCACCTACCATAAGCCCTCCACCAGCAGTCAATCTCATCAAAGCGGGACTTCTCGAAGCGGCGACTCCACTGGCGGCAGTCAAAGCGATACTTCCAGCCAAATAGGTGTACGTCGAGCTGATTCTTTCTCTAACGTAGGATGGCCAGATGGCACTCTTCTGAAGGATGGATTGCTCTTTGGAGACGAGTCCATAGTACATCAGGGCGCCAACACCGAACACAGATGCTCCGGCGAGAGCATACGTTCCGTAGAGGAATGCTGGAAAATTGATTTTTAGGGGTCGGGGAGCGATTTATATTATTTTTGAAATCATTGAAACAGCGTAAAATGGGTATTTTTTATTGAAGAAATATCCCAAAATCGAATTTTTCAATTTTTAGAAAATTGGAAAAATGACCCAAAATTTGAATTTTTTCGACTTTTCTGAGAGAAATTTCTTGTAGATTTTCCTTTTCTGATGCAATTTCAGTTATTTTCAGCGATTTCCAGCCATTTTTAGCTTCGAAAACCCACGCTTCCCGGTAGTTGGACCCAGAAGTCTCTCCTTGAGCGTCGGCCCGGTTTTGACTCCAAATCCCTACAAAGTATCAATTCAAAATCTTAATTTTTCAATTTAAAAAGCTCACTTGATTGAATCTCGTGCCGAAACCCGACTGATTTCCACTGTATCTGGCCGATTTGGCGGTGGAATTGGCGAAATATCGTACTCCCGAGGTGAGATTCACCCCGATTCGTGGTGCAGTCATTGTGAGACGAGACAACATTACTGACGACTGAAATTAGATGAAGAATGGTTTGGAAGATTGTTTGTGTGCGAGGAGCAAAATCACGTGGATGATGCAAGATATATGTTATGAAATTAGAAAGTTCTAGAAATCTGGGTGAATTTTCGAAGAAATTTGAATTTTAATACATTCTATGTTGACTGGCAATTTTTTATAGCTTCATGTACCCGATAATTGCGAAATTTGAATTTGAAAAAAAAAGAAAATCGAAAAAATTAACTTTTTCCAGGGTTTTTTCTCATGAAAATTCGATTTCCAACCTATTTTCCACCTATTTTCTTCTCCTTTTTCTAGTTTTTCACCCCAAAAAACCCCATTTTTCTCGAAAAATCCATCAAAAACACCAAAAACCAACACAAAAACAATGTTGTCTCCCTTGTGTCGATTTACGGGGCGGCAACCTTGGTACGAAGCCAGCGGCCGCCGCAATACGGTAAGTGGCGTTGTGGAGCGTGTTGTGGAGTGTGCGCAAAGTGTACAAGATGCGTGTTTTATTTTTGCGGCAGTGTTTTGGGTTGGCCTAAACTTTTTTCGATTATTTTTTCAGCAAAATTAACGAAATTTTTTCGTTTTTCATCCTAAAAATCTATTTTAATCGAGGCGAATTAATTTTCAGACAGAAAAATATAAGATTCGCAGTTTTTTCAAAGAAAAGTCGGTGCTCGTTAAGAATTTCTAGCCTAAAATTAATTTTTTTTCTTGCACTTCGTTTTTTCATCGGTTTCTTCTCTTTTTAATCGCTTTTCATTCTGAAAATCAATTTTAAGTCAGGCCAATCAACTTTCAGACAGAAAACTAGCAGAATCGCTGCTTTTTCTGGGAAAAATCGGCGCTCGTTCAGAATTTCTAGCCTAAAATTAAAATTTTTTCCCTCGATTTTCCGTATTTTTCTCCGATTTAACGCTCGTTACTCGTCTCGCATCTCAAAATTAGTGTTTCTTCCAGAAAACATGGGTGCATACAAGTATATGCAGGAAATCTGGCGCAAGAAGCAGTCAGATGCTCTTCGCTACTTGCTCCGTGTCCGCACGTGGCACTACAGACAATTGAGCGCCGTCCACCGTGTTGTCCGCCCAACCAGACCAGAGAAGGCCCGCCGTCTCGGATTCCGCTCCAAGCAAGGTAAAAATTTTAGAAAATTCAAATTGTTCGAATCGACATGCCACAATGTCTGGGCAAGGTGTCCTGCACCCGCTTGATCAACCTAATCCATTGATGGCTATATAAAATTCATTGATTAATCCCTGTCGAGTTGAATTAGAACTCTTCAGTTTCATCTCATTGATACATTTTAAACTAAATGATCAGTTTTCCAGGATTCGTGATCTACCGCGTCCGTGTCCGCAGAGGAAACAGAAAGCGTCCAGTCTGCAAGGGACAAACCTACGGAAAGCCAAAGACCCACGGAGTCAACGAGCTCAAGAACGCCAAGTCCAAGCAAGCCGTTGCTGAGGTAAAATTGAGATTTTCATGAAATTTGAATAGGGTAGTATGCCACAGTGTCTGGGCAAAGTAGGCTGTTTTTAATAGTACTAACTTAATCCACTGATGGCTATAGGAAAGCATTGTGTAATCCCCGAACACCTCTGTGGTGTATTGGATTCATGACATTGCGACAATTCTTATAACAAAATCCTAGCGAATCGGTAAATAATGAAGATTAATTTCGTTTTTTTCAGGGACGTGCCGGACGTCGTCTCGGATCCCTCCGTGTTCTTAACTCATACTGGGTTGCTGAGGATTCCACCTACAAGTTCTACGAGGTTATCCTGATCGATCCATTCCACAAGGCCATCCGCAGAAACGCTGAGCTCCAATGGATTACTAAGCCAGTCCACAAGCACCGTGAGCAGAGAGGACTCACCTCCGCTGGACGCAAGTCCCGTGGACTCGGAAAGGGATGGCGTTTCGCAGCCACTCGCGGAGGATCTCAAGCCAAGAACTGGAAGAGAAAGAACACCAAAGTTTTCCACCGCAAGCGATAAATCTTGTTATGTTTTGTTTTGGACTTGTTCCGAAAATAAAATGGTTGTTTATAATCTCAGTTGTTTTATCTTCATAATTACCTTTAAAATTTTGAAAAAAAGTTTTTGTTGAACACTTGAATCCAGGACTTTGCAGTTCTAATGAAAAGAGTCATGAGCACATTGAGTGAAGGTCCAGTGGCACGTCTTCTCTGGGACAAGTTGTCGACGGCGTTTCAGGTATCAAAGATCTTTTTTCTTCATTTAGAATCAAATTTCCAGCCAAAACATCTCGAGGTAGAATGCGAAAGTCATCTGCATAACGTGCCAAAAGGAGCCGAAATGCACTTCCGAGTGCAAGTCGTCAGCGATGCTTTTGAGGGAAAACGTGTCATTGAGGTAAATAAGGAAGTGAAGCTTTAATTTCTGGCATTTAACGTCTTCTGGAGGGCGAAAGAAGATGAAGAACAACAAGAGAGGCCCAGAATTTCAGCTTTCTCACGTATTCTGTCGGTGAAAATTGAAATTTTGAATTTCAAAAAAGCTTCAAAAACCATAATTCCGCTCGAGACCCGCAAAGAAACGTTTCACGTGCGGCTCTGACATACTGCAGTCCAAAAATTCAAAATCGGATTTTTGTCCTTATTTCGGCCTAAAATTCAAATTTCCAGCGGCACCGTCTAGTGAACACGTGTCTTGCCGAAGAGCTCGCCACCACCGTGCATGCCCTTCGAATCGATGCGATTCCAACGAGCAAATGGGATGGACAGAAGCAGGAAGACAGTCCAACATGCCGCGGTGGATTCGGGAAATGATTGTTTTTGTTATTTTTGTAATTTAAAAGAATTTAAGGACTTTATATATAGCTTCAATGGTATTGTTCTCTTTAAAACAAACACAGATACAGAGAAAACCGGAACATGGAAAACGGGGGAGAACTCGAAACTAGTATTGGAATCAAAACGAAAAAAAAAACCAAAATTATTTTTACAGCATAATCTCGGACATGTTGAATGGGTTGAATCGTTGCAGCTCTTCGCGCAGTTTATCTGAAAATTCGAACTTTAAAGCCTATTTTTTTAGTCGGCGCGCCAACCGAGGTTGTGCATTTGCGCGTCAAAGTGTTTGCGTACGCATGCATTGTATCTTACGACAACTTACCTAAAACCTCATCGGAAGTCTTTTGCCCAACAACAGTGTGTTTTCTCTCGACAGTTTGGTGTTGTGGGGCACGGAAAGACTTGAAATAGGGGTGACGGAGAAGATCACGGGCGGTTTGGCGGCCTTCGAGAAGCTGGAAAAGCAGAGAGCGAGCGTTGAAGTCTGGAAAAAAAATAATTTTTTAAACTTAAAAATTATGAAAATTCTCACCTAAAAGTCCCGAATCACTGCTCCCCTCCAACACAATTCGCCAATCGATATCTTTGGGATTTCTGGACTTGGAAAACTTGAACATTTCCTCTTCGTTCATCAAAAAACGCGAGACAATGGCTCCAATGGAGAGTAGGTCATCTGGAAAACAACCTTTTAATAATTTGCAACCTAAAAAAGAAGTACTCCTACCTCGAAATCTTGCCTCTAGGTGCTCCGACGAGTCATCGCTTTTTCCATAGGAGGAGAGACGAAGTTCCGCGTCGGTGTTGACATAAATCGTGTTGAGCGTGAGATCCTGGAAAAAATAAATTAATTTTTGGAGAAATTATAGTGGAATTGAGCTATAAAATAGCGAAATTAGCCGAAAAATTCCAAAAATTAGGTAGTTAAAATTCAAATTACCGCTCAAAAACCGCTAAATCTGTTCACTTGCGCGTCGCAGTGTCATCGCGGACTTTCCATTCTATTTCACGACAGTTTAGGTCCTATTTTTCCAGACATCTTTCCGAGAAAGGAATGGGCTCTTTTTCCGAGTTTTCGGTCACAAAAAAAAATAGAAGAAATTTTCTAAAAATCGGAAGTTTGATTTTCAGACAAAATAGAGAAAATTATAGCCGAATTTTCAATTTCCGAGAAAATAAATTATTTTGCAAAACAACTTAAGTTCGAATTTCCGTTTTATTCCATACATTCTAATTTGAGTTTTGGTTCCAGAAAACTAAAAAAAAAAGATGTTTTTCGTGAAAAAAAAAACTTCCGATTTTCGACCACTTCCGGGCGTTCCTACTACACGAGCCTACTTTAAAATTCCAAGAACTTTCTAGAACTTTTTCACTAACCCCATGCGCGATTCCATTTTGATGCATCATAGCCACCGCAGCCAACACTTGATGGGTAATCTTAGCCACAACGAAATGGGTCAATCGCTCCTCGACAATATCGCTAAGCCTTCCATCCATTTGTTCCGATACCGTATACAGCGTGGTATCCACCTCGTAAGCTTCAGAAATCGGAAGAATATTTGGGTGGGGGAGAAGACGGCAAAGAATGATATTCCGGTACTCCTTCCGGGCTGTAGCTGGGTCTTGAAGCGAAATCTTTCGAATTGTGACATGTTCACTCTCGAGAAGATCAGTGGCAGAGCAGGAGGCACATGTGGTTCGGGTGCTGGTTCCAGGAATCAACTCAATCGCTTCAAAGCGTCGAGGAAGTAGAAATTCCTCTCCAGACAGGGAAACCTGGTCGAATAGGGACCATGACACTTTCTTGTTCGGAGAACGGGATGGCGAGCTGGTCGGAGAGTTGAAGCTGAAAAATAAGGGGGGTCAAGATACCGTAAACACTCGAGAAGCCCACCCAAACCGTCAACTTTGAGCCCATATATCTCGGAAAGATATAGGAAAATTATCAACTGATAAATTTTTTATCATAAAATTATAAACATTCTATCAGTTGACACATTTTTGATATCTTGCAAAGGAGTCGAGATAATTGAGCTCAAAGTTGACGGTTTTTGAGGGCTTCTATGAAAAGATTAGACTCACTTATTTCTCGAAATCTCACTTCCATCATCTGAAGTCTTCGCTGGAGAATGTTCCATGGAATCTGGGATAGATGAGGTCTCATCATTTGGGTTGTTATACGGGGAAAGAGCTGCCAATCGGAGCTCCTCGGTAGTAGATGAGGATGATGGGGAGGATGATCCGGGTAGACGAAGCCATAATGGGTTGCGGCGCGGCATTTCTGCAAGTATAAAGGAGTGAATGGGCTTGAGAGCCTTGGAAGAAAGTAGGCGGAGCTTAAAGGGGCGGAGTCAGAGAGTTCCAAATTAGCGCTGCTAATTCGGAACGTGGGAACGGAGTTTAAAGGATCAAGTTTCGAAAAGGAAGGAATCAAATGCAAAAAGAAGAAGGTCACAAGAGAAGGAAAAAAAGTTGCAATGCATTTTTCATTTCTCGTGACATCCTTGAGGACCTCAAGACCTCATTTATTCAGTTCTACTCGGATTGCAAACAACATGGATATCTGGGTTATTTCGGGTCAGAAGAGATGGGGGATGAGCTGAACACTTGAAGATTTATGAGGCAGATGATGATGCTGAAGAGGATAGGAGAGGGAAAAGGGGAGGGGCCAAAGGGGCGGAGCTTGGGAATGTTGTTTTTTGGCTTTTTTTGGGTTTTGGAGATTAGAGTGATTTTGAAAGGTTCGGATGGTTTTATATAACTACTGTAGTTTTTGAGATATGCGCCTTTAAAGGTGGGGAGACATGAGAAGAATAATGTTGTCGAAATTCCGTTTAAATATGCTCCTCGAGGAGTTGAACTTGTCGAGGCGAGTGTTGGAGGTGCGGCGTCGCTACCGACTGAGCTACGCGTGCAAAGAGAAAGCCGCTGCCCGATTGCATACATAAAGGCGAGGCCCCAAAAATCCCCCGTAAAATCTCCTGTCTCTTTAAAGATGGAGGAGGAAAAGAGGAGGGGCACAGTATCTTTAAAGGTGCATATCTTCAAAACTATCAAAGCTAATAAAACGTTGTCAACTGCAACATTGCTCAGCGTAATATTTCACACATTCGGATAGTGTCAAAAATTTTCTAGCTATTTTAGTTTTTGAGATATGCGCCTTTAAAGATGGAACATGCGCTCTGGAGGGGTACCGTAACTTTAAAGGCGCATAACTCAAAAACAATCGAATCTAGCAAAAAGCTGTAAACTAACAAAATGTGTAGAATTTTATGCTTAGCAATATTGTTAGGTGGTTTTTGAGATATGCGCCTTTAAATTATTCTATCTGCAAAACTATAGAATTCTTCCTTCCATTTATAGCTATGTTTTTGTGCCTCCAAAACCCGGCTATTCTCCAGAAATCCTTGTCAACCACAAAAAAAAACAAAACTAATTAAAATTTCCAAAAAAAATGTACACAGAATTCGTGAAGTTTCTGAGAATCGGTTTCCAGAAAAATCCATTAAATTCTTCAAAAATTCATGAGAAAGAAACCCCAAAAAATCTGACGTCAAATGGAGCCGCCAAATCGAGTTGGTGTCTAAAAATAGGCAAAAAAATGGGAGAAGAAGAAGAGAAAAGGGTTCGTTTCTTCTCTTTTCCTTATTTTGGCCGGAGGGGAAGAAATGCAAATGTACTCGTCTAAAAGAGAGAGAGTGGCTTATGTTCATTAGTCTGGGCCTTCTTGGGAAAAGGACATCCGGATAAACAGACACACACACATCCGGAAATTAAGAAAACAAAAAAAAAGTTGTTTTTTTAAAGGGGCAGTGTCATGGGATTAGTCGTTGATCTATTAATAAATATGATGATATAATTTTTAAAAAGTATCTTGGGTTGCCACCGTGACGTCTTCATTGAAGACGTGGTAATCTGGAAGTCCGGAGACGTCACAAGAAAAGGGTAATCTGGAAGGATTCATTTACTTTTTTGATCGTCATGATCTGAGATTGATCTGAAAGGATTTATGGGATTTTGGATTTTGGGGAGAGTTTAAAATCGTCATATCATTTAAGAGGGAGGGAGTTCTAGAAAAGCGTTATGTATCAAGAACCATATTAGCTAGCAAAATTTAGATGATTATAATCGTGCTCAGCATAAAATTTTATAATTTTCTCAGTTTACAAATTTCCTATTGCTTTTGTGGTTTTTGAGATAAAGTCTAAAGATGGAAGAAGGGCTCCGGAAGGTACGGTAGCTTTAAAGGCGCATATCTCAAAAACCACAACTGCTAACAAAATTTTAATCATGCTAATATTGCTCAGCATAAACTTTTACACATATTACTAGTTGTAAACTATTCGATAGCTTTTGTGGTTCTCAAGATATGCGCCTTTCAACATGTAGGAAGAGAAGCAAGGGCTCTGGGTACAGTAACCTTAAAGGCGCATATCTCGAAAACGAACAGAGCTAGCAAAAAGTATATTAAACAAGATGTGCGCCTTTAAGACTACAGTAACCCTTTGCAAACCAAAAAGGTAAGAAGTACGGAAGTTTTTTTGCCTCCTAAATCACTTCCCTCAATCTAATCTTTTTCTCCATACATTCTTAATGATCCATCTCCTAAAATATTCGGAAGGGATTCAGAAACAGAAGTGTTTAATGGAAACACAAAGTGACAGAATAAAAAAATCGAAAGAGAGAGAGAGAGAGAGAGAGAGAGAGAGAGAGAGAGAGAGAGAGAGAGAAAGAGAGAGAGAGAGAGAGAGAGAGAGAGAGAGAGAGAGAAAGAGAGAGAGAGAGAGAGAGAGAGAGAAAAGTAAGTGCGAATGTAAGGAAGTGTCTGTGATTGACAACTCCTTCTTCTTTTGTGTGACGTGGGACAAATATTCTTGAGGAGACACTTTTCGAGGAAGGACAACGCCATCAAAGAACATCTTGGGAAGTAGAAAAGGATCCAGAGCACCAAAAAAGTTGGAAAAAAATAAATTGAAGAAATATTTTGGAAACTGTAAATTTTTTTGAAGGCGCATATCAGAAAAAAACAAATTGCTTGAAATTTGTCAATTACTAAATTGCTCAGCATGAAATTTCACACAATTTGTTAGTTTCCAAGTTTTTTGCTAGCTGTTATAGTTTCTGATATATGCGCCTTTAAAGATGAAGGCAGAGAAGCGACGGAGCCAAAGGGCCCAGTATCTTTAAAAGCGCATATCTCAAAAACCAAAACTGTTAGAAAACATTTGTTAACTACAGAATTGCTCAGCATAAACTTTCATACATTTTGTTTGCTTACTAACTTTTGCTAGCAATTTGGCTTTTGAGTTACGTGCCTTTAAAGATAGAGGGCTAGAAGAGGGGTACTGTAACTTTAAAGGCACATGTTTCAGAAAATGAAATTTCCCGCTCCTCTTCTTCCTGAGCCCCAAAGGAAATAAGAAACCCAGTTGGTGCACCAGAACTTCAAAACCTGACCCAAATAAAAGAGCGAAAGAAAAAGCCAAACACAAAGTAAACAATCAAAAATGGGCAGAAAGAGTGAAAAGGTCTTAGAGAAAAAAGTGGGCGGAGCTTAGCTCAAATCCAAAAAAGGTAAACAAACTTGACGTGATGAGGAAAAAATCTGCAAAAAAAATCTAAAAAAGCTAGGCTGAAAAGGGATTGGAAAAGGTTTTTTGTGAGGATGAAAAAGGGATTAGGTGCGGATGTTGCTATAAAAATGGTAACTGAAATTTTTATTAAGTCTGAAAATGGCGTTCCTCCCCACGCACTACGAACACAAAACACGAATAATGAGGTGTTGAATTTCAGAAAAAAAAATGGCGGCAAAAAAGCCCCACGTCTTCTGAATCATCTCGCTGTTTTCTTATTCTAATGGGAAATGTAGAACCAGAGGATGAAGAAGAAGAAGAAAAAGATGAGGGCAAGATATAGGAAGAAGAAGAAGAATAGGTGATGACGTGGCAGGAGATTCAGAATTCAGAATTCAGAATCAAACCAAAGCAATTAGAGAGACGCAGAGAAGCGAGGGTGGCTCGTTGTCTGCGTCACTAGAACTTTAAAGGTGCGTAACTCGAAAAATAAGAAAGCTATCGAAAATTTGTAAACTAACAAAATGTGTAAAATTTAACGCTGAGCAATGATGTGATTAACAACTTTTTAATTGCATTTTTGATTTTTGAGTTATGCGCCTTTAAAGTTACCGTACCACTTTATAGCCCACGCTTCTCTTCGTCTATCTTTAAAGGCACATATCTCAGAAGTTATAGAAGCTAGATAAAAGTTGTATACCAACAAAATGTGAAGAATTTTATGTTGAGTAATATTGTAGTTTACAAAATTTTGATAGCAGTTGTGGTTTCTGAGGTATGCGCCTTTAAAGATAAAGGGCGAGAAACTAATGATGCGAAGGGTACAGTAACTTTAAAGGCGGATAACTCAAAAACTATGAGAGCTATCAAAAAGTTGTTAACAAACGAAATGTGTATAATTTTATATTAAAAAGTATTGTAGTTGACAATTTTTTGCTAGCAGTTTTGGTTTTTGAGATATGCGCCTTTAGAGACGCATCACCACTTTTTTGTTTATCCATTTTCTCCGTTCGAAAATCTCATTTCGAAAGGACATTGTTGATTGTTTTGGACTCATTTTAAAGCAGTCTAGACAACATAAACATCTTGTTATGTAAAATGCGTCTGGAGTCATTGTCTAAAAAAAAGAGATAAAAATCGGAAATGAAAAAAGAGGAAAAAAAAGGAGAAGAAAAGAAAAGATTGAAGGTTACATATCCAATTGGTGGGGACTTTTTTGTCTCAAGCTTGATGGCTTAATCGGGGCTTAAATTAGGGTTGGCGACACGAAAATTCAAATATAGAACTTCTTTTTTCCTGGGAAAGGAAAAAATCCGAGAATTCAAATTCGAGTGTTTTGGACTTTTCAAGAAGGGCAAAAAATTCTGAGAAAACAAGAATTTTCTCACTTTATACACTTTGAGCTCAAGTATCTCGGTTCTTATCAGAGGTATCCTAACTTAGTCAAATGATAAATTGCTTATCACAATATCAAAAACATTTCATCAGTTGACAAAATTTTGATATCTCTCATAGGAACCGAGATAATTGAGCTCTAAGTTCCAGTATGGAATGGGCTTCTATGAGCTAGTACGTTAAGTTTGGACTCATACAAAACTATAATACTTCAAAAATTTTCAATTTGTCTGAAATTTTCAGACTACACTAAACAAAAATAGAGCTTTAATTTTGTAGTTGACAACTGTTTGTGAAAATCCAACAAAACT